ATATCATGGCACAGAGGAAAAATAATTTGCTCCGAACTGATAATCATTAAAGTTGTCATTTGGTAGATTGCAGGGGAGTTCATAACACTGCTATGAGCATGCCTGTATGCACGTGAAGCTTCCTGTGGTAAAATATCTTAAAGATGCTATAAAATCATTTTTCAAACAAAATATCCTTTATGTCAGTGCAACACATAAAAACTCAATCTTGAATAAAGATTAAACAAAATGTATTAAATTTAAACTAATTATTAATAAGAAAACCGTAAGACCTATTAAGATTTAGGAAAAAGTTTGAAACTTATTTTTGCATAATCAACTCACGAATCAAACATTATCCTTTAGAAGCAAGAATAAATAAATAAATAAATAAATAAATAAATAAGCAAGCAAACAAACCAACATGAATAATTAGGGCTGGAGGAATAGATCAATAGTAAAGAGCACTGACTGCTCTTCCAGGCCCAGGTTTGATTCCTGGCACACACATGGCAGCTAACAACCATCTTTAACTACAGTTCCAGATAAGCTGATGCATCTCTTCTGGTCTTTTGCTTTCTTTTGGTTGGGTTGGGATGTGTTGGGTTTGGGGTTTTGGATTTTGGTTTTTATTTGAGACAGGGTCTTTCTACATAGTCATGACTGTCCTAGAACTCACCATGTAGACCATGCTGGCCTCAACTCACAGAGATCCATCTGCCTCTGCCTTCAGAGTTTGGGGAATTAAAAAGTGTGTACCAACACCTTGTAGGTGTAGCTTCTGACATTACTACTTGACACAATTTCATGGAAAACTCCATGATCCTCTGGCTCTAACAATCTTTCAGATTCTTCTTCTGCAATGTTCCCTGAGCCTTAGGAGCAGAGGTGTTTAATAGGTATGCCCATTGGGATTAGGAGCCATGACTCTGCATTTTGGTTGGTTGTGATTTTCTCTAGTGGTCTCTGTATGTTAAAAAGAGAAGTATCCACTTGGGCTTTGGTGGCACATGTCTTTAATCCCAGCACTCGGGAGGCAGAGCCAGGAGGATCTCTGTGAGTTCAAGGCCAGCCTGGGCTACGAAGTGAGCTCCAGGAAAGGCGCAAAGCTACACAGAGAAACCTTGTCTCGAAAAACCAAAAAGAGAGAGAGAGAGAGAGAGAGAGAGAGAGAGA